TACAAAACGAAATTTCGTTTTGTACATCTCTCATGACATTTCCAATTCTGAATATGCAGCAGTGATCAAATGTAAAAATTGGGAGAAGAAAAAACATGGTGCAAAAAAACGAACTGATATGGTCAGACTGGGACATGATTTAAGTTTTTTTTTTATTTTCAACATTCAGCTCTTTTTTCAGTTTTTTTTACTTTTTTTCAGTTTTTTTAATAGTTCAGTAGTCTGATGGCGGAGGGGAAGAAGCTGTTTTGGAATCTGCTGGACCTGCATTGGTGGGGGTGTGAGCTGTCATTGATAATGTTGCGGCCTGAAGTCACGCAGCGCTGGGATGAAATGTCTTTTATGGAGGGAAGAGGAGCCCCGATGATCTTCTCTGCAGTTCTCACTACTCTTCTTACCTTCTTCCAGTCTGTGGCACTGCAGCTTCCACATCACTCAGTGAGACAGCTGGTCAGAATGCTCTCTATGGTGCTTCTGTTGAAGGTCGCAAGGATTAGTGGGGACAGGTGGGCTCTCCTCATCCTCCTCAAGAAGTACAGGCGCTTTTGTGCCTTTTTCAGCTATGAGGTGGTGTTTACAATGTAATGAACGGTCATTAAATTATATTTTCTGAGATAAAACAGGAGGCATCGTACTCTAAGCGTACCTTTTTATTTTCATGTACAAATCTGATGGACAACACCATAATACACGTCTGAACAAACAGAACATGACAAGGATGATCCCATTATATAAAACAGCCATTTGGGAGAAGTTGGGTAAAACTCTGCTTGTTCCTGGTAGAAAGTACTGCTAGGGACCATATGGTGTTCTTTTTTTTTATCCACTAGGTCTCTTCATTAGCCACATGGCTTTATTTGTTATCCACTAGCTCCCCTGTGGGAGGAACATCACCCCGACATCGATGGGACAGTTCGCTATCTGCAACACTGACTGAAATGAAATGAATCAGATGCAATTTGTTCTGACAGAAACTCTGCCAGAATACAAAACTAAAATGGGTTGAAAGGGCACAGTAGGAAAATACACTCTGCGGTGCTGTTGCATAAGTGGAAAAGAGAACAAAACAATAGAACTCCTCATTAAGGAAACATGCTTATATAACAGTCATTACCTAAGTTTATTTATATATATATATATATATATATATATATATATATATATATATATATTAATAAATGAATATTTCATTGGATCAATTGCAAAAACAACGTTTGGCAACATTTAAATTTTCAAGTTCTGAAGCAATAACATGGACAAGCAAGCTCCAGCTGCAGGGGGAATGTTCGTCCATACTGCTGAAATACATATCATTACTAATCACGATTTTTAACTATTTTTACAATACATACATTAAGTAAAATAGATTTCTCTAGCCGTAGGTCCGTTTTAATACATATTTTCTTTGCCATAGTTAACTGGATGCTTAGAGGTAATAGATTTTTCTTAAGTTTTCTCTACATGCATTTACAGCCATTCTAACAGAGTATACAACTAATACTATTACTTTCCCAGCACTATTTGGTTCAGCACCTCTGCAGAGTTTACTGCAGATGAGTTTTTCTTTTTTTAAAAGCAGGGAATTGTCTCGATGGATCCTCCAAATCACGTTCAGTTCGATTTCTGGCTGCTTTTGCATGCACGCTTTGTCGTCATGTAGCCCACTTCACAGTTATGAGTTGAAAGAGCCAAGTACAATCGCACAGTCCTCCACAGATACACGCAGTCGTGGGCACGCACTTATGGTGCCATGGCTGTGAAAAGTGAGCTTTGAAAAGCCTTATGAGTGTAGTTTAGTAGAGAGTGTCCATCCTAATGGTGGTAATCCCTTTTACTGTGTGGACGGTTTCCCAGAATATGGTCCATTTCAGAGGCAATACCTGCTGAAATCTTTGGAATTACCTGAAATGTACAGAAGAAAGGCATCATCAAAGTTAAACAATGTCCAGCAAACTAGCACAAACTATTATAAACGGTAGCCCAGGGTGGAAAATGCATGAACAGGTACCTGAATGGCTCCTAGGTTTTCTGTCAGCTGAGTGGGATTGGAGGCCCCTAAGAGCACTGAGCTGACTCCCTCGTTTCTCAAGCACCAGGCTAAAAGATCAGGATAGCAGGTTTTAGTCTAATGTGGCTTTTGCTAGTCTATATAAATGACAATTAACTGTGAAGAAGTTCCCTTCAGGTTGCAAAAAATAAACTTTAGCACATACGAAAAGATAAAAAAGAGTCTGGATTCTTTACCTATGGCTAACTGTGGCAAGGTGCATCCTAGTTTTTCTGAAATATGAGTCAGTTCTTTTAGCTTGGATTGTTGTTTTCTTCCATCCTCACTTGTTATCTTCTCCCTTAACCACTGATATGGCTAGAGAGGCAAAAGAGGCATAAACAGTGATAAATCGTACAGATAATAAAAGAAGGTTAAACCCCATCTTCCTACAAAAGAGGTTTTATTATGTTTGTCACGTTTCAGTCACCAACTTCAATGTCACCTCTCATAATTTAACTTAAGAGGCAACTATACAATGCAGTGCATATTCATGAAATTGAAAGAAACTAAGAGAATGTTTTTTTAAATTTTTTTCATAAATAAAAATAATATAAAAAGCAAGGCAACAACAGTTTTTCAGCTTCATTTAGTACTTTTTAGTACCACATTTTTCTGTAATTACATCTCTAATTCTTTTGAAAAATACCATTTACAACTCTTTTTTCGCATATTGACACCTCTATTTCGGCCCATGTAGAATAATTCAAGCTAAATCAATTCCATGAACAGAAATTTGAAATTCATCACACACACAGGGATTTTTATTTAATTTTATTTTTTTTATCTGGATGATGGTTCTGGCCAATGCTACATTGGCTGTTCGAAGCATTTAGTTTTATAAACTAACCTACACGGACTTATCCCTGACAAGCCTGCTTAATTTTAATGATGCTGTTAATTCTTTTAATAAATCTTTGAGGCTTTCACTTTTGAGCTGGATTTATACTAAGATTTCATTACATACAGGCTGACAGTATTACTAAAAGGACTTCTAAAGAAAAATAGATCACTCTTTAATTTAGAGGCATCGGAATTGGGGTAGTGGGGGTTGAAGAGAAAGACAAATTATACTTTTCCAAATTCTATTTGTAAAATATTTTCTAAATGGATATTCCTTTAAGCTATACCAATGCAAATATGGGTGTTGGTCTTTCATTTTAAATTCTAGCAAAATGCTTGAGTGATATGGCAAAATGTAAAGTAGTTACTCATAAGCACTTTTTCAAACAGTTTTATAATTGTATTCCATTCAATCTAAAAAAAAAAAACTTTAAACCAAAGAGAACATTTTTTTGTTTTGTTTTTTTAATATATCAAAGTATAAGGTGTGAAAGTCTGACTCAATAGAATCCCGTCTTTACCTTCATGGCAGCCCTGGAGGATTCTGGGATGCCATTCTCATACTTTCCAGTGATGATTCCACAGGCCAAAGGAGACCAAGATACAACACCCACACCTGTAAAAGAACAAAGGCTCGTGTGATGCTGATGGCATATTACAACGACCTTTTAAAACCTAAAGAATAAGAAGAAACGTAGACCTACCTATTTTATGGTAGAGCTCGGGAAGCTGAGTTTCTACCTTCTCCCTCTGGAAAAAATGATACTCGGCCTGCTCGCAGACTGGCGGAATAAGATTAAACTGTCTGGCCACAGAATAGGCCTCCTAATTAAAAGGGGAAGAGGAATTCAAGAGATAAGGAAACATGCAACACTGACCTTTATGTTTCATGACTTTTATCTATTCCTAGGGTACCATCTTTCAGAACTGGCATCCTTGGTGTTTAATTGCATTGGATTCATTATTCATTCTTACATTTTAAAGAAAACAGGGGGTATTTTACAAAACAGAAATCTTTAGCAGTAAGATAAAAATGTTCTTATATATATTTTCTCAAATGCTAGTTTTTCTTTTGAGTGTTGTAAAAAACAGATATATATCAGTACATTACTTAGTATCAAGCATTTATCTAATACTGTGTATAACTTTAGTAATAACAAACTGACCATGATCTCCATGGCAGACCAGCGAGATGTACCCCAGTACATGGACATGCCTTGGTTTATCACATGAGTCATTGCTCGCACAATTTCTACAAAAAAAAAAGACAGAAAAGAACAGCAAATAAGAACATTAGTAGACATCAGACAAAATTTGGAGTACTTTTTGTGTTTATTTATTTCTTGAAAAAAATGTCTAGGGAAATGTAAAGTGTATATTTTATTGACATCTCCAAGATTTACTTCCATGTCAACTCATATGTGAGCCTCACATTACTTAAAATACTGTGGGACACCAAATAAAAAGACAATATGTGGCTTGTTAAGTGCAAATAAGGTTTAGATGCAAGGTGAAGCTGAAGGGGTAAAAGTCAGCCATGCCCTTCAGGGGTCTGTTTGACTATGACACAGAAAGAGCAGAGATGGTCTGTTTTGTGTTATAAATGCCAGGCAAAACTGAGCTATTAATCAACCTATGAGAAGCATTTAAAAAAAAAGTTTTTAAATCGGGAAAACGTTTGCTGCAACATCGCACCAATACCTCACTGTGCACATATTATTTATTACAAAATTCAATTCGTAATATTTATATGCAGTTATTGAAGCTTCTCTTCCATTTGCACAGTGAAAAGGCTGGATGAAAAAGTGTGAAAATTCTATGGGAAGAATTAGGAAGAGATTTAAAGACAGAAGAGGAAAAAACAAAAACAACCTAATGATTTTCTTTTATTACTGGATCTTCCTTTGAACCAAACGGTGCTTCAGTGAGAGACAGAGAGCAAGTGTATGTGCGTGGGTGAAACAGGTGGGAGGGTTGAGCATTTGTTCTAAAAGGGGGGGTATAGGAAGAAAGAACTTGGAGAAATGTGAGAGAGAAAGGACAAAATACACACTTGAAGTGTAGTTTTATTATGTCTATATCTATGACAGAACCTGTTACGTATCTTTGCCTCCCCTCACAAATTAAACAGGACTTTTACACCTACTGTACCTCTGTGCTTTAAGCATTAAATAGAATCTGAAGGAAGTGCTCTAACTTAAACTTCATCTAAACTTGTAAATTTGAAGTCATATGCAGGGAGTTAAAGTTTGCAGATACAATATAGAAAAGCAGAGGAATAAAACGATTCCTTTATGTGATCAGTTTTAACTTTGCTATTGTAGAGTTAAAACTCAACAACATAACAGCCCAAGGCAGGCTCAGACAGGAAACAAATTTCGGCCCTGGCATTTTTCCATGTACACCGGCCCACTTATGAACCAAAGTCTATTGATCTCTTAGGCCATAAATCTAAAGAAAACCATTTTTTACCCATAGACGTCCATCCTAAACTGCCAGATAGGGAAACATCCCAACCTGGCAACAATGCATGTAAGATCGGAAACGTTAACCTTTAGATGCAAAACCCCATCATGCACCGCAACATATTTTTGCAAAATATTCAAACATAAATTTGCCAAATATAAGAGGAACATCATAGTTTGGTTTAAAGAAAGCATTTTAGTATTATTATAATTTAGTTTGTGCAAGGATTTTACAGTTTGAAGAAATAGAAAATTACACACTATGCCAACCATCACAAGAATGTGCATGATAAGGAAGGGCTATCTATACTGCATGCATTACTTAGGTAGTTATTGTATTATTTCTTGAACTCCTTGAGTAATTTACTGTCACACGTAGGTGCTTCAGGTGGAGAGTAAGTGTTGGGGTCGGTATGATTTAAGGAGGGCTGGCCCTCGCACATTGAAATTAGGACCGACCTACCGGGCAAATGCCCGGTATCACAGATTACCAGTCCGAGCCTGGCCCAAGGGATGTGTTTAAATTACTCAGGTAACAGTTTTATCATCTGTCATATTTAAATATAATCTGAATTTTATCCAAAGGAGGAAAACCAACCTTGTAGTGACTGCAAATTAAAATGATAATTTTCACAAAGTTATGCTAATTTTAGCTCAGTGGTTGTTTGGCTGGAGGGGGGGCTTCACACGATTTTTACCATGATCAAACTTGACTTCAGTTTTGGTAGCAGAAAATAAAAATGCTATACCATAGGACATGGGATTAAGTCTAAATATTGGGGAACAATGTTCATGCTGACTTTCTTTTGACATTGGTGCTCTCCAAAGTAAACCCATGTAATCTAAAATCAATGAGTGTCCCTGGCATCATCATTATCCCAGGGACAATGATGCACAGATTTCCCTTCTACTTTGCCCATTGTCATGATCTTTGCACTGATGACTGGATTATTGGTTTATTTTCATTATCACTCATCAGATCCACCTGTTCCAGTTCCTATTTAAACTGCTTGGTCCCAGCCATCAATGCCAGATTATTCGAGCCTTAGGTGAGAGTTCTCTAGCGTACCCATTGTGTTTATCCGGATTGCCTGGTCCAGACTAGATTCTGCTCCTGGACTTCTGAGTTTGCCTGCCCCTGTTCTGATCTATTTGCCTGACCTGTCTATGGACTAACAATGGATTCTGCCTGCTAAAAACCTTGGATCTCCGGAAGGAGTCTTGACACCCATGAAATTTCAGCGAGATGCGCCACATTGGGGGGAACAAAGACAACATGGCTAAAATGACTTAATTCCTCAACTGCTCCCAAATTGCTAAAGAATAGACTCTCTGAAACATTCTTTCTGAGTCTATATGGGTAATTCAGAAGTCTGAGGCTTCCATACAAAAGAGGAAAAAAGGGCATAGGCCTCCTGGCTTCTGAGCACAGACCTACCCATCAACCCAGCTGGGCTAAGTTTTCCTGAACTTTGTAGATTCCAAAATGGAGATAATCAGAGATTAAACGTCAGGACATTTTCTTAGTTGTTGAAATAGTTTTCCTTACTGTTTATATGTAATGTTTAGTCATAGAATCATCTTGAAGACACTGCAAGGAGTGGAGTGATCTTGCTAATTTGGGTAATTGTGTACATGGAGTGTTAAAGTTTTGCTTGTGAAGCTACAGTTGTTGTTGATGGTGACGTTTTACATCAATCCAACCTGGATGGTTCATGGTAGATCTAGGACTGGTTTGACAAAAGTAACCAAAGCCGTGTCTATTAAGGGGTTGAGCGATCTGGATGCTGGGACTTAGTGCCTGAGAATGACATCACACCAAATTTAAAAGCCTTGGAAGTCCAAAAAAAAAAGGCATTTGGTATTTGTTTTGTTGTTAATTATGAGGCTTTTATTAACTTTTTAGTATGTTCGAACTCAACATGAATATGTTCATATTTTTTCCTCAGCAATGCCACAGGCTCAAAATCTACAAAACATTAGAATTTAATTCATATTAGCAGTGTACATTCACACAGAGCCCTTTTGGATACAGATGTTCATCTTTTGAAAGTGTTCTTGTTTTATCTGGACTAGATAGAAAACCAGACTTTAGTATACAAATATAACACAAAATAAACATTTTCTAACAATTGTTAGAGTTTACAGTTTAGTCAAGATAGCCAGTACCTTTAAGAGTTTTACCTTATTTATTAAAAGACAATAAAAGAGAGAAACTTATTTGAATGAAAAAGTAAAAGCTTGCAACAGGAGGTACAGAAACGTGACCTCTGTTCATTAAGGCAACAAACTCCACCTGCTAGCTCCTCCAAACACTCCCTTAATGGTACACACTCAACAGAAAGTTGCTTGGCAGTTAGCCAGGGTCCATCTGTCCTTGAGCCCTCTTACAGCAGCACTACGCCACTGAGTCTGGAACATTTGGTGAGCTCCCTGCAGCAGGCATGACAGTACCCCTTCTGAGTAGCAATAGGAGAGTGAGAATGCCCTCAACACACCGATTGCTGTACATGTCTGGACAGGTGTCTCTTTGGATGTCATTGTATCTTCGGATTTGTTCTGAAATGTTTCTGCTGTTAAGGCATTATTCATTTTTCTTCCTGCATACAAACAGACAGGGTGGTCATCAACATGCCGCATCACAGGCAATTTCCAACCCCTAGGAAAGCCACATCCAAGTTTTATGGTTATGGGAGGGAAGGATATGTTAAAAAAAAAATACTTTACTCCTGAGAAATGTGTTTGCATTCTTGGATTATTATAAAATTATTTTATTTAGAGAACATGTATGAATTTCAGGAGGTTTTGTGTGATTCTTTATCAAAAACCAGATGCTAGATGAATGATTTGATTCAGGGCCTTAAGCTATTTGGTTACCAGGCCTTGGTGTAGCTATTAATACAAGATATTGACATGCATTTTGTTCCGGAGGGCAAAGATCTCATTGTGTATGCTGTGTGACAAATATTATAAATGACACAATTTGACGGCATGCTAGATGAAATTTTACCACGGGGGAAACCGTCTATGCCCTGCCAGCTTTATAGCTGATAAATGCAACAATAAAACAAAGAAATGAAACAGAATTTCCTCTTACAGGAAAGGTAAAAACAAAAAAAACAACATAAAACCAGCCAAGAAAGGTTGGAAAGAGTCAGAGAAGAATGAGGTCATAGGATGAGGGATGTGGTGATTTTAACAAAGACAGACTCTGCTGCCATGATGTCACTTTTTATCCCCAAGGGGACTCTTGTCTTACACAAGTTTTGAGCCGTAAGGGTAAAAAAAAAAAAACACACTCATGCACAAGCACTTGTTATTTAGCACTAGAATTCCTTACAAAAATGCCACCATGCTTCATTCTATAATTATATTGTTAAGCCAGTTTATATTCCTATGTGTAAAACCATTTTTCCAACATGTGGATAACAAGTTCACTTTGCAGCATGGGTCCTAAGCATAAAGAGCAACCAGTGGGAAGTATTTAGGACACATTACAGAACTGATGCATGACATTAATCCTAGAGTGGCTCCAAGAAGCCAAAATCAAGTTAAAATGATTTTCTTCTCAATGATTTATGCCCTTAGTTCCAGTGCATTAATATAAATGTTCAAGAATTTGAATTTAAAATCGTAATTATACCACAGTAAGCAGAGAGTGAGGCACGACTCATAACAAGCATAACAAGATTAACCAATTTCCTGATTTCTAAAAGGCAAACATTTGGAAAAGAACTTATTGAATATTTTACGGAACATTAGTTTTTTACTACATCACCTTGTATTT